TGCACTTTATGTTGCACTTTACTTTTTTACTTTTGGATTTCATTTGGTTTAATGAAATATAGCTTAATAAAATATTGTTAAGTAAAATTTTAGTTTTTTTGGGGTCGGAAATTAACCGTTTAGATTAATCGATAAATTAGTCGATAGATTAATCGAAATAAAAATAGCCATTAGTGGCAGCCCTATTGTACTGGCACGGTGTTTGTCCTTGACCGAGAGTGGTGGACATTTCTGCATAACCTCAAGCAAAGGTCACCCGAATATTTGCGCAAGCGCCTGCCTATTATCACCATATATATATATATATATATATTTCTCAAGGAAAAAAAATCTCTCAACTAATGCTGTAAGATATACATGAGAGTCAGTTGGTACTGCATCATTATAATATTGAAGGTTAAAATTGACTGATTTGTGCTGTACAATTGCTTAAATTGCACTTAATGAAGTTTTTATAATAACTAAGTTACAATTACTTAAGTTAGTTTTTTTAAATATGCACATTTAAATAGTGGCTGTCATAAAAACTTGGACGGATTTATTCAAACATAAATAAAGCATTAAAGAACGGTAAAAAATATATATAATGAATGTTATAGGGTGCATATATTTAGCAAAATGCTCCTCTCTAGAGTTTATTTTTCTGGCTGACTATCGAGTTTATGGTCACCAAATATGCTTTCTGAGGTAAATGTGACTTTACGTGACATTCGATTACATGAGACAGGATACGGATTGTAAAGTTATACTCTTTCTTTTAACTTGCCTTCGGATGTGGAGGAGATGATCAGTTCACGTGCGCCTCGCGCTGCCGCATCTGTTGAACTGAGGCGCTACAGCGATCTGTCACTCGAGATTAAACAGCGCCAAAACGGCATTTATTGTTTAAATACTTCAATACAATGGACATAAATTTAAATCTCAGACTTTGTTTCATATGTAAAGTATCAACGCACAATGCTTATTGCGATTTATTGGATGGTAGGTGCGCTTCAATGTTCCATCCATTAACTGAAAACAGGCTAGACTAATCGATTCTTGGGATTTAAGAATCGATATCGTTTCGTTAAAAATGAGAATCGATTAAAATCGAGATATCGATATTTTTTCCCTAATATATATATATATATATATATGAGCACTCACTTTCACGCTCTGTTGATATGGTTTGCTGAATGAACTCTGCAGTGTTTGAGCTATTGGTCGTTCAATGTTTCAGATGCAGACTCTGGTCAGCATGTGTCAGAGTTTAACTGGGATGACTACCTGGAGGAAACCGGGGCACTTTCTGTTCCTCATCATGCGTTTAAACACGTGAGTAAACCGGGCCAGGCTGTGTTTGTTCTATACCACTATAATGAATCTCTAGAATCTAAAGAAAAGAAGTTATTTTTTTAACCAAGCTGAAAGCTTTTAATCAAATTCAGATGTGACAAAAACATGTTTTTCTCTTACACTGATGCAAGCAGCTAGAGTAGATTTTTTATTAATTTGGAAGAAACTTTTATCCATGACCTTGCCATTGCTGCAGGAGCTATGTGAGCTACCAGAGTGATTCATAGATGAACGGCTCTTTTGAGCTGGTTCTTTTAAAGAATCAGGTAGGGCTGCACGATAAATCACATGCGATTGTCATGCGTATCTCATCAGTAAAGCCGGTTCTGTGATTAGTAGTAAATCTCCATCACGTGCTTTCAGGTGGAGCGGCATTTAAGACACAGAGCCGTAGTTCGCTGACAAGCTACGCAATATCGCATTCATAATCAAATGTGATTCATCTGCGATTATGAACGCGATATTGCGTAGCTTGTCAGCGAACTACGGCTCTGTGTATTAAATGCCGCTCCATCTGAAAGCACGTGAAGGAGATTTACTACTAATCACAGAACCGGCTTTACTGACGAGATGCGCATGACAATCACATTTATTCTGCAGCCCTAGAATCAGGTTTGAATCCACCAATACCCAACTTATTGAGACATTGCGTTCTGTTGTGTCCGATCGCAAAAACAGAAATGTAGAGTGCACTAGAGCCAGCATGTAAGAAAACAAGTCAACATTTAGATTACTCGCTATGCATTAGTGATGTATTCAATTTAGCTAATAAAAGCTTCAAAAAGCTAATTTAAATTGTTAATAAATACTTTAGTGGTATATAAATACTGAGAGACCAAAATTACACTCATGCTGCCCTGTAGTTTACTCACCAGGTGTCACCTGGCCATGTGTCTGCTCTGTCATCTGCTCAGACCAGTGTTTTTCCTTTGCAGGTGGACCAGGGCCTGGAGACCGGTCTGACTCCTGGTATGAAGCTGGAGGTGTGTGTGCGTACTGAAATAGAAACGGCATACTGGGTGGCCACAATAATCACCACCTGCGGACAGCTGCTGTTGCTACGATATGAGGGTTACCAAGATGACCGGCGTGCCGACTTTTGGTGTGACATCATGACCGCTGACCTGCACCCGATCGGATGGAGCAAGCAGCAGCGTCGACCGATGAGACCTCCAGAGGGTGAGCAGAGACTTAGCAGATTCACTGTGCTGTCTAATTTATGATGATTAGAACCTAATTGTTTCATTTAATCACTCACTCAAGAGAACATGTGGCTTTTTAGGTAAAGATGATTTGAATTTAGGCTCTGCAGAGGTTATGCTCTCATTTCAAAAAAGCTTTGTGCGCATCGTCCACACAGTGCCAAATTTGCATATTTCTTTATATTCTTCAAGTGCTGTGTTGCTTGCAGCGCAGTGCTAATTCCTGTAGGTGGTTGTTCACAGTCGATTTGTGGGCATATTCAGGAAATGGGGGAGGGGTGTTTGTGTTGGGGCTTTTATTTAGCTTGCAGCTTGCTGATGGGCATGGCCTTTACTCCTCTGAAATTATTAAAAGACCCGTTTTAATACTTAAAGCTTCTTTTATTAATAAAATCCTGCAATAGAGTGCAGTAGGTACAGACGTAGGGGAGTCCAGATGGTTGCTGGCATTTTGCTTCTGGCTGCCTGTGCCTTATTGACAGCTGTGCTTATGGCCCAAAATACCATGTCAATGGTGAAGCCATCATAAGCGCAAAATGGCATAAATCTGTCAGCAGGATAGTCTGAAGATCTGTTATGTCTTTAAAATGCTCTGAATTTGTGCTCAGGTGTCCGTGAGAAGCACCAGGACTGGGAAGCGCTACTGGAGAAAGCTCTGGCTGAATCCTGCAGTGTACCTGCTAGTCTCCTGGAAGGGGTAAGATATATGCCATAAATGTAGGAGAAAATATATAGAGAGCTGGTCATTATTGCAAAATAAACTGATAGCATGATATATTAAAATTAATATTTCAAGTCAACTAAGACCATTTTTACTGCAATCAGTATTTCAGTATATCACTATCAGCTCAGTGTTTTTAGTTGCAAGATTGCAGACGATTAGCTGTTCTAAATTGCATGAAAAAGAGGGACCATGAGAGATAAGATTAAGTGTACAGTTTAATAGTCATTATACAACATTATTTGACAGCTAAATTCTGCATTTGACCAATTAGAATCAAGTATGTAAACTCAGCAGATGCAGTATTTACACAATTTACCCATTTTCTTTTTTATTATTTATGTATTTATTTTTATTAAATGAATACTTTTATTTAGCAAGGACACATTTAACTGATGTGCCAGTAAAGACATTTAAATGATTTCTATTTCTAATAAATGCTGTTCTTTTAAACTAAATAAAAAACCATAATAAAAACAGGCAGCACAACTGTTTTAAACATTGATAATATAATAAGAAATATTTCTTGAGCACCAAATCAGCATATTACAATGATTTCTGAAGGATCACGTGACCTTGAAGACTGGAGTAATGATGCCTAAAAATCAGCTTTTGCCATCACAGAATTTTTTTTTTAATTTTTAAAAATATTAAAATAGAAAACAATCTATATCACAATCTTACTGTATCTATCTATCTATCTATATATATATATATATCACAATATTACTGTATCTTACTGTATTTTAGAAATGCTGCCTTGGCAAGTACAAGATACTTCTTTCAAAAACATTAAAGCATTGTACCAACCCAAAGTGCTGTAAAATTTAAAAAGCAAAATATTAAGATTTAAATCATGAGAATAATTGCAAATACTTGAAAAAAAAAGCAGGTAGAAAAGACATGACTTTTTGAATTTGAAACTCAATATAAACAGTATTAAAAAAACATTAATTACAATTATAAATTAATGAAACATTGTTATAGCCGTGATTTTTAAACTGATGTTTGTAGCACAACAATAAAATTTCCACAGTTATTGCTAAGATATTATATATTACATTATCTGCGTGCGTGCAACTTTTGCTTTTGTGTTTGTAGGCTCAGCGTGGCTGTAATCCTATAGATCTGTTAAGTCCGGGTCTAAACGTCGAGCTAGTGGGCCGTCAAGATGCTGGGGTGTTCTGGTCTGCAGTGATTGAGGAGAACGTAGGGGGTCGCTTGCGTCTTCGATATGCCGGCACCGATGGGCTCCCTGACACCCAATCTATCACGTGGGTCTTCTACCTGGACCCTCTGCTTCATTTGCCAGGCTGGGCACAGGAGCACAGCTGCACCCTTAGACCACCAGCAGGTGAGGGATTTATCATTTCTAAAGATCTTTGTTATACGTAGCTTGAAATATCGGAAATCAAATGAAAAGTAGTGCTGTCAAACGATTAATCGTGATTAATCGCATCCAAAATAAAAGTTTTTGTTTACATAATATATGTAATATGTACATATATATAATATGTGTGTTCTGTGTACATTTATTATGTATATATAAATACACACATACAGTATATATTTCGAAAATATTTACATGTATTTACATGTATATATTTATATTAATATAATTTATATTATATATAAATACATTTAAAATATAAACAACATATTTT